GGAGAGTAGACTCATAGATGTCCTGGGTCTGGGGGTATTTTATGTGTCCTTGGGGAAGAGGGGTCCTTAAAACATCTAGTATATGTGTTCCTAGTGTCTATTAAGTTACTTATTTAGTAGGCTAGATCAGAATGCAGACTATTCATGTATGTTTGAAGTTTAGAGACATGCTAACTTCTGTAGTGCTGGTTCCTTGAGGATGGCAGTGTTTGGCATTTGCAAATCCATAATATAGGGGGAATGCATAAGACTAATTTATAGGCTTGTGATATCTCTAAGACCCTTAGGACTTTTTGGAGTAAACTTCCTGGAAGGAGAAAGAAAAGTATTGTAACGTTGGATAACTTTGTTCTAAAGCTTCAATTACCTTTGTTTGTTTGTTTCTTTCTTTCTTTGTCATTTTGAGACAGGGTCTCCCTATGCAGTTCATGTTGGCCTTGAGCTCACTTTGTAGCCCAGGTTGGTCTCTAACTGGCAATGATCTTCCTGTCTTGGCCACCCAAATGCTGAGATTACAGGTGTGCACCAGCACATCTAGCTGTTATTTTCTTTTTTTCTTTTTTTTGACTGAGACTTGAACTCATGACCAGGCAGGAGCTGTGCCACTGAGCTATATCCCCAACCCAAATTTTCTTAAAAGTACAATTGTAGTTAAAATGATTTTCCTTGTTTCTTTTCCACTTACCTTTATTTATATCTTGAGTCCCTTCCCCACCTGCCCCCTTTAAGGGATGCTGAGAGGCTTAAGGCCCAAAGATCCGTTGTCTATGGCTGCTTCAAGATATATGAGATACTGACCCTTCCTAGCTGAGGATTGGCAGTCTAGTCCTGATTTATCTACATGAGACTTAGAAGGATCGAGTTTTGTTGTGTTATCCTTCGGTATTTTGAAAAAGAAGGCAAGGTGGTTAGCAACTTAACTGAAATTTAGAGTTGTAGGGAGTATATACATAATTTTTTTTTTTTTTTTTTGGTCTTTTTCATTTTTTACCGCTACTGGGGATCGAACTCGCGACTGCCTGCTTGCAAGGCAGGCGCTTATGCCGCTGACCTAAATCCCCAGCCCCCTATACATAATGTTTTGCATTGATAATAACACAGCTTGACTTGATGCTGTTGAATTGTGAAAATAAAGACTTTATAAGCACCGGGTGTGGTGGTGCATGCCTATAATTCCAGCACTCAGGAGGCTGAGGCAGGAAGATTGCTGGGAATTCAAGGCCAGCCTGGGCTACAAAGTGAGTAGTAGACCAATCTGAACTGCATAATGAGACCTTGTCTCAAAACAAATAAGCAACTCCAACTTTATAAGCATATTAAGCAAGAGCAAAAAATTAAATGTAAAGTTACGGTGAATAGTGACCCCTTCAAGGTAGCAGAAGTCAGACAGAATTAGGCAGCTTTTGGATGAGCCTTTTATGTTTAATATTAACCTCCATTTGTCCTGAGGTGTGTATCCTGTTTTGCCAATAAAAGTATCTTCCAATTTTTAATTACAGTGATGAAGGAATAAATTAGTGAAAGGGATCTGTGCTCTTGTGTGACCATTGGGCCATTAAAATTCTTATTACAGGGCTCAGAATCTAGGAGTTGGCCCCTGGTTTGTAGATCTAAAGATCTTTGTTGTGATTGGCTCCAGCTAGCACAAACTACAAAGTGTGGAGTAGATAAGAGGAAGTTTATACCAATACAGTAATAAAGCTTAGTTACTAGAATATTTACATTGGCATTTTTGTCTTACAGGCAAACCTATACATGAAGCCCAATCTTTACCCAAGGGATATTTGAACGTACATCAAAATAACATAATGACAGTACCTAAGAAAGGGTGAGGGACACATTGGAAGAGGTAGTGGGACTGGGAATCTGGACCTCTTGTGGTGGTTTTTTATGTTTTGGTATTTTTTTCTTGAGTAGATTTTGTATCAAGTGGTGTGTTTAGAATTTCTTTTTAGCTCAATGTAGCTCTGTTTTCATATTTTTGTTAACAGTATTTACTCTTTTCAGTTATACTTTCTTACTGGATATTTAAAGATCAAGACAAAAGAAGACTTTGTCAATCAAAATTAATCTTTTTCCTTTCTATTAAGGACAATCAGGGCTCTCAGATGCTACTTTTGGGGCCTTGTGGGGAGCCTCCTGGTTCTACCAGTTGTATCATCTGCTAGGATGGGACAAGGTCTTGACCAAGTCACTTCTCTGGAAAGCAAGCAGGATATTCTCCTCTCTGGGGACCCTCCTCTTGCAGAAACCACATTGACTGGCTCCTAGTGGGGTCCTCAGGTTTCCCATTTGAGAGGTTGGTTGATTCTGTGGAGTTCCAGGATCTTTTTGTTCTGTTGGTCCCTGGCTGACTGGCTGACTATGGAAGGTGAAGACCAGAATATTGAGAGTCCTTGTATCATCTTTTTTATTTATTTATATATTTTTTTCTGGTACTGAGGATTGAACTCACAACCTTTCACTTATCAGGCATGTACTTGAGTCTCTGAACTAAATTCCTGGCCCTTTGTAGCATTTTTATAGGTTTTTTTGATTTTTTTACTTTTGGTTTCTAATTCTCAGTTGTTGAGCATCCAAGTTAGTTTACATCACTCTTAAGATGGGAATAATGAGTCCTAATCCTACCTATTGTAATTTTCCCCCCAAATAGTGGGGTATGATACATACAAATATAAAAATGAAATATAAAATGAAACTGAAGAACGATTAGCTTACTTAATGAGGGTTAGCTGTACTTGCTTCAGCAGCACATATATTAATGAAAGTTACTATTAACAGGAATTAGCATCATATCTGATCTGTCTTACGCATAATGTGTGTCATTTAAAATACTTAAGTTGTATACAGAGAAACTATACTCCTGCAAAATAATAGCAGAAAACAGCCAACAGCAAAAGCAAATCTTTATAATAGTAAAAGCAAATCTAGTACCCTGGGCAAAGAAACATTTATGGGGTCCAGGTCCTCTGATTTTGTTTCTTAGCGACCCAATTGGCATTGGGAATGTTGGATATGGTTAGACTTAATGCTAGAGTTATAGAATCTATAGGTATTAGAGTGTGGGGTACCTGATTTTGGGGCCTAGGTCCCTCTGTTTTGCCTCTTGGCCCTACCCCTGGCATTAGGATGAGATTAGAGATAGACTTAATGTTGAGATATGGGGGCCTGAATATTTGTTAGAGTCCTTTCTGTAAATTTGGCTGCATATATTTTAAAGAAAGTCAAACATAAAGATGAAAAAGAGACAGAATAGGTATCATTGAAGCTTTGAGAAATGTTTTTGCAGCTGACAGCTGCAAATGTATCATATCCAACACTTTAGAATAACAGTTGTGACTGACATTACTATTCCAGGACCATTGACTTTGAAAAATCTTTGCTCAGAAATGATGGTCATAAGACACTTAACGTTACAAAAGTTATGTTTTTGTCATTGCAAGTAATTTTAATGTGAAAGACAACAGTATGGTAAGGTATTTACCTAAACTTCATATTTTAGAAAACTTATGCCTGAGGAGCATAAATATGTTTTAACATACAAAGAAGTTAGCAATAATTATCATCATGGCTTCCTAGAAGGTTTTTTATATATACTAACTTAGCTTCTACTCATGAGGCAAAATTTAGAATCCTTTAACAGGTCTGTGTAGGATAACAACACTGACAGGAGTCAAAGGATAGCTTTAGACCTTCTGTAAGTTCAAGAAACAGTGCTTATGCCTATAGAGAGCCTTATCAAACACAAGTGGATCTCTTTTATACATTAACAAAATATTGTTTAGTTCAACTGAGTAGATATAGATTGTTTTAAATGGCAGGACTGTCCCACTGAGATTTTTTTTTTTGGCATTGTACCAAGTATAAAAAGAAATGTTAAAAAAAAAAAAGAACTGTCAAAAGTTTTGATTGTTTTTTTTAAAGTCTAGATACAGTGCAATTATACAAAAGAATATTTATTGATTACTTTGTATTCAACTTATGTACTTCAACTGTAAACTTTGCACATTTACACAAGGCTCACATACAGTCTGTTTAGTACTTAGATGTGTGTATTTGTGTATATCTCTATCTGTTGCTGTGTGTGTGTGTGTGTGTGTGTGTGTAGAAAGAACACCAAATGCAGTGTAATCTAAAAGAATTGTTTATTTGACCAGTTATAAATTGATCACTTAAGACTTTACAAAAAAGAAACACCTGAATGACATTTGACTCTCTTAAACTCAATTTCATAAAAAATTAAAATCCTAACAGCAGAAAACGTAAGAAATTATCTTGATAAAAAGTAAAACCTTTCTTTCCTGAGGTAGTTGTAAATTTTTAGCAAGAACACATTGATGAGCACATCAATATTTTTAGTAGGAAACCTTATTGCTTTAAACATAAAGAACTCTTTAAACTTTTAATTATAACCAACTTAGTAGTATGCAATAATCTTTTATGTAGTATTATACATTTAACTCGATAACCTTATGAAGAATATAATCTTAAGCCTTTCCATTTTACATTATTAATAACTCTGAAAACCCAGATATAGTATAGTGTATTTTATAGATCTCAAGAAACTAAGAGTATTCTTTTCTTTCTTTCTTTCATTTTCTTTTTCTTTTAGCGACAGTGTCTCGCTGTGTATTTCAGACTGGCCTTGAACTCACTATGCAACCCAGACTGGCCTTAAGCTTGAGGCAGTCTGCCTCTGCTTCCCAAATGCTGGGATTACAAACAGGTGCCATCACAATTGGCTGTGTTAACAGTTTTAAAGATAATATTTACTTTTATCAACCAATTTAATTTAATTTGTTTGCTAAAGATTTATTTAGGTCATGTGAATAGAAGGCATTTGGGTTAATTATCTGTAAGCCAATTTAAAGTGAATTTTTGGGATTTTAGCAGAATCTGTTTATTTTTAAATTTATTGATACATATTATGTATATGTAATGATCACATTCAACATAGGGAATTTGTACCTGTGCGTGATATATCTTGCTTCCCCCCCCCAATGCCTCTTTCCCTCTCTATTTACAAAAGCTTTGTTTCCATTCTTTCCTTTTCTCATTTTTTAAATAATTTTTTAAAGGTTAGTAAACAGAACAATCTGTACATTAACCAATATCATATGTATATAACCCTGATATTACCAAATTTTATAGATTTTATTTGCAAGTGGAATCCAATAATCCTGTAACAGTGACTAGGTTTTAAAGAGACCTCTGTTGAATTTTCTTGTTTTCTTAATCCCAAGCAGATTTGTTAGCTCTTGAATATCTGTATAATTGTTTTTGTTTTGTTTAGTAAGAAATCGAAGCATTAAGCCAGCTGTCTATAAATATTTTTAAAAGGAAAAAACCAAAATCAGTTGAGTTTTAAAACAATGTAGTAAATGGAGCAGTGTAGACACTTTAGCCAGTTATTACAAAAAACACTTAGAAGAAAGACCAAAAAAAAAAAAAAAATCAAAAAACCCAGAAACGAACTTATGTGACACATAAAACAATTGCATTAAGTCAAAGTGCACTTCTAGATGCATTGGTCATTTGGAATGTAATAGTTCATTTTTTTGTAGTTTAAATTACAAGTAAAGTAGTCAGAATGCTTCCTTGGCTGTACCAATTCATAAATCATAACAATTTTTATAGCACTCTATAGTTAGTCTAACGTTACAGAATTAAACTGATAAAAGAGTTAGAAGGGGAAAGAGAAGAGCTACAGATTGCCAGATAGAATCTTTGTTCATTTTCTCTCATTGTTTCAAACAAGTCAAATTTGAGACCATGTCTTTACACTCTTTAATGTACACTGAGGACAGGCCCTGAATTAGAAAAATCAACATTGATTAAAGAAAAAAATTTCTGTTTTGAGACAGTTCCAGTTTTGTAAAATATACGCTATGGTGACATTTTGGGGCTATACACTGAGTGATGCATGATGTCCTAAAATAATGTGCATCTCCAAGATCTCCCGTGTATATTTCTGAAAAGAGAAAAGACAGTATTCTTTTAGATGTTTTTCCTTGATCAGATAGCTTCCACTTACCCCAACTTTCTAGGATATGGTAACACTGCTTTTCCTGGGTCATACAACAATCTGACTAATTTTCCTGGGATCAAACAATTTAGCTTAACCTAGTTACCCTGGTATCTGACAACCTGGTGATTTCTAATTTTCTTAAGGTCAGGCAGTGGGCACATCCAAGTTTACCCAGAGATGGCAACAGTACTGCCCCAATTTTCTGTCTTGACTGCTGTCTGGGTGTCCCTGCTATCATGCGGAAATCTGTTTCTAAGCATATCTGGGTTTTCTTGTGTCTTTAATAAATGAGAAAGGAAGGAAAAAAGTCATGCATAAGGGCTATATTTTTCTTAGAAAGTCACTTCTAAGATCTCTAGGGAATGATAAGTTATGTGAAGACTTCGTGGAAAGTCTGCATAGTTACATAAGAAAGTCCAAAGGTTCCTTATTGTAGACTAGTTACAAAGGCTTTCATGTTTTTGTTTTGTTTTGTTTTAAAGTGGGGGAGATAAACACAAGGCTTAGATTATTGCAAGAAAATTAAAAAAAAAAAAAAAAAAAAGAACAAAGAAACGCAAGAAAACAAACTGACATGAGAGCCCGGTGCTGTGGGAAGTGGCAGAGAAAAGGGTACTAGGACCCTAGGAAACCAAGTATTCAGCTTTGGCAACATTGGAGTTGTCCTGAGCATACTGTGTCCTCACTGCGTCCACTGTGCGGTGATGTCATCTCCGGCACTATTCCATTTCCCTTCATCCCCTCTGTGATGGTGCCATCCCTGGTGCTAAGCCTTCTTGCCTTGTATGTCACTAATGGGTAATGCATCCCTGCAGCATGGCCCTACGTGTGTATTCCTTAGGCTTAGGCAGAATTTCCCCTCAGCAGAGCTTTGTCAGGGGAAATTTGGGCCTTGCTTGTATAATGTGGTACAATAAGCCAGGTAGCAGTGGCTACTGGGTGGACACCCAGCTGCTATAGAGAGGAGGAGATCAGTAGACACGCCAGCCACCATCAGGTAAAGTTCCCCCTCCCCCATTGTCACTGACAGTGTGGGGACTTTTTTGCCTCACATCTTAGACACTTCTCTTATTAGGTAGCTTCTTCTAAAAGTGGCTCCCAGTTAAATGTTACTAAGTTTTTGGGTTACTTGCTTCCCTTTCTGCAGGTGGATTCCAGGTTATTGTCTCAAACAAAAAAATAAGTGACCAAAAAGCAGTAGCAAAGTTTATTTGAAAAAATAATAGTTGAGTGTGAGAGAGACACTGGCTCTGCAAAATGAGCTTGGACCAAGTAAAAGAGGAAGAAATAAGAAGAAGGAGAAGGCAGGGTGGGCTGTTGTGAGGAAAGCCATGATAGCCAGCCAGCTCTTCTTGGCATCTGTGACCTTTAATACTGTAAAAATCTCAAGGAAACCTAGGAGAACTTCTACATATGGGTCCTGAGAGAGGGTGCTGGGATCCCATGCCTCAGGCTAGTGTCAGGTCTAGACCATGCTCCTCAGGTTCTCTCCAGAAACTCACATGCCAGGCTTTGGGAACTGTTTGGAGCATGTGTTCTGGGGTCTTGCAATTAACAAGTCATGCCTACTTTCTCAGCCAGCTTTGCCACACCCTAAATCTCCTATCTCACTTGTGCTTGGTCATTTACTGTACCACCCCTTTAGAAACACACAGTTAAATGGTTTATGTTTTCCTTTTAAAGGGCTAGAAATAAATGGCAGGCTCAGACTGGAAGAAGATGAAGGATAGTAAAAAAAAAGGAAAACTTCATTGAAGAGAAGAAAGAAAAAACTGGGCTCCTACTAGCTTAAGGTTTTTAGGTGACCCAGTCAGGCATCAAAAACCAGTCACCCAATTGCCTCTTTTATTTTCATAATATGGTAGATTCCTCCAGCCCTCCTAAAAAGTAGATTCATGATAATTTAGGGAGATCATGCTTTTCTTATTCTGTTTGGAGAGTGAAAGAAAAAGGGGAGAGATTAAAGATAAACATATCAGTTTGAAGAATTTCCTTTGATCAAGTATGGTTAGGATCCAAAAATGTGCATATTTGGAGGTTTCCCCCTCAGGTGTCACCCAGAGGTTGTTTCCTCATTCTGTGTTTTCAGGATTAGCTTTAACATTTCTGTGTGCAAAAGGTTTTCTCCAGACATTGAGTGGGGCAGTCCACGTGCTTTCCTGGAAGAGCAAGTTTTAAAACTGTCTGACCCAGGAATGGGTTAGATTGACCTAAAGGAATTTCTAATAAAATCACTGCATGTCCTGGGGCATACACCATGACACCTCTTTCCATACCTTCTTAAAGGGAGCAAAACTAAGTTCTTTTAAGTGCTTTTATATGGAAGTACTCATTTTTAGCCAAGCACTTTTTTTTTTTTTTTTTTTAATGTGTAAGCACTCATTTTTGGAAACCTTTGACCACTAAAAAGGGAAACAATTACAGTGAGAGAAAGCCATATAGAGGGCAGAGTGTTAAAAGGAAAGTGAAACATTGAGCTGAAGTTATCAAATCAGTGCTTCAGTTTACCTCTTACCTAGCTCATCAAAGGAGATATTATCAGAAGGGACCTGAGGAAAAAGAGGATGGACTCATCCATTCCATAGGGGAGGTTGTAGGTTCACTGGCTTAGATCTTTCTACAGAACAGAATTGCAGATTGTGTCAGTGAAAGACATAGAAAGATGTATTAGGTAAAAAGAGAAGAATACACTTGGGAAGCAGTGTAGATGCTCATACATAGATTAAGGTGCTTTATGGTCTGGGCTGGAATGCAAAATATCTGTCAGGTTACTTAATGTGCTAGATCAGAATGCAGACTATTCATACATGTTGGCAGTTTAGAGACATACTGACCCTCTGTAGCTGATTCCTTGAAGATGGCAGTCTTTAGCATTTGTGAATCTGTAGTATGCGGGGAAACACAGGCTCACTTTCCAGGTAAAAAACACAGGCCTAATTTACAGTCTTATTATACTTCTAAGACCCTTAGAAATTCTTGGAGTAAGTTTCCTGAAAAAAGAGAGAAAGCATTGTAACCTTAGGTAACTTTATGTCCAGAGCTGCAGTTTTCTTAACATGTTCACAGTGGGGTCATAATTTGTATGTCTTGCTGGTAGGCCGCTCTGAACCACCAGTGGGACAGTCATTCATATACAACTAGTGGTTCAGACTGGCAGAAATGTGTTAATACAATTTTAAAATTACAATTTTTATTTTCTACTCTTCTAGTTTACCTCAGTTACTACTTTACTAGAGGCATTCTCTACTTCTCATATCTAAGAAAAGAAGTTAGGAACGAGGAAGTTGACAGCAATTCTGAAATTATGTTATGTGCCAGATAGGAAGGAACAAAATAGTATATATGGTAGATTTTGGGAATGAACCATGACACAGTGGGAGAATGATACAGGTAGGTACGTAGTGGTTAATTGTGTTGGAGATTAACTCAAGTTACAATAAAAATTAGTTAGAATGTTTTTAAAATTTAGATTCCTGGCTCACAGATACAGCGATTCTTTTTTTTTTCTTTTCTTCCATTAGTTACTTTGGTTGGATCCTAGGAGTCTGCATTAAATTACATCTGTGAAACTGCTTAGAGATTTTCAGGGCCAAGCATCATACAGCTTGACCGGAGCCATTTTTCTCCAGGTTAACCTGGATCATTCTGATCTTTATTCTGACTTATTTTCTTGGCATTGTTAGCAATAGAGATCATTCAGATTGTGAGGTTTGAAGTAACCTTGTAAATAAGTTCTTGATGTTTTTTTCAACAGATTTGTGATTACATATGAAAAACACTATTTTAGGTTCTGCATTGATAGGCAATGTCCTTGCCCCAGTGGAACCTATTTCTGCTTTGATAGGAAATACATTATGGAGGAGGAAGCAAATAATTACAGGTGTGTAAGAAATCCAGAGGATGATAAAGAAGTATGTTAGAGTACAATCAGACCTGATTATCACTATCAGAAAGGTCTTTCCAACATAAGTGATGCTTAAACTAAGAGCATATCAAAGCTGACTCAATTCGTTTAGCTAAAGGGGAAGAATAAAGTTGGCATCAGTAATCTCTGTAAGTGTAACAATTTAGGGAAACCTTAGAAGGTGAAAGAGAACATTTAAGGGAATAAATGTAGACAGTGAGGTAGAGTTAGAATTTTGGGTTTTTATTCTGAAATGCAGTAAGAAGTCATTGAAAGGTTTTAAGTGAGGTTCAGGTTTGCGTGGCAAAGACCTAACTTCCTACAGAGTAGAGAATGGTGGAAGGGGACAAAAGGATACAAAGGGACAACATTTAGAACGAAACTGTTACATTAATCATAGTAAGACTGGTTCCCTGGCTGAAATTGTAAATACAAGTATAAAATAGCTAGATCTCAGAGGTTATGAGATTTTGTGATAGATTTGTTGTAGATGCTAAGAAAGAGGGACTAGGAAAGGATGTCTCCATAGGCTTCCGATCGGAGCAATAATGTGAAGAGTATTTGTAAATGAAAAGGGAAAACTGAAGATCACTTTATAAAGGTTGAACATGTTTATGTTGAGAGATTCCTGGCCATGTGTGGTTGATAGTTGGAAATACCTATTAGGAAGTCAGGAGAAAGGTGTGGGTTAGTGATCTAGTTAGACTTAGGTGATATAGGTGGTCATTGAAGCTGTGGCTGTTGATGAGATTGACTAGACAACAAATACAGAAATGGAAAAAGGACATGGCAGGAACCTAAAATTTTCCAATATTTAACTTTTTGTAGAGGAGAAAGACCACGTGAAAATTTGTCTTCTAAGTCCACACTAAGCTTTTCACAAAATATTTCTTTCATCTGACCATCTGGATTTGTTTTTACCGCCCATCTTGAACTTCTGAGATAGGGAGGTTAATGACCGCTTACCTGATGGTTTTGCTTTTTACCTGTCTTCTTTTAGAGTTAAATTCAATATTTATGATTTTATTTCCTCTTCATGTCTATTTTAATAGTTACACTTCTTTGCAAACCTTTTAGGAATTGCTTTTTAGATTTACTGTATATGTGTCTTACTCTGTTCAGGCTACTATACCAAAAACCATAGAGTAAGTAGATTTCAAAAAATAGACATTTCTTGCTCACAGTCTTAGAGGGTAAAAACTCCAAGATCAAGACCTGGGAGATTTGCTGACTGAAAACTAATGTTGTGGTTATAGTGAAGTAAGGCCCTATTTCCTCATTCATAAATGGCTTATTGTAGTCTTACCTGATGGAAGACTCAAGTGAGCACCTAGGCTTCTTTTATAAACACTAATCCCTTTCATCAGGACAGCCATCATGACCCAGTCACCTTCCAAAGCCCCTACTTCCAAATATTGTCATGTTGGGAATTTGGTTTTAACTTGGGAATTTTGAGGGGTGCACATTCAGTCCATTGGAAGTTTTAACTTACTGCCCTCTAACTTCAAGTAGTATAAACCATTTTTGTACAGCGTAAGAACTTTATATAAATTGTTCTTCCAGTTGCTTTCACTCATCTTTTGTGGGTTACATTTTACTTTTTGTACATGGTAACCCTATAATTTATAATATTGCATGCTCATTTTCTATATATATCTTGTTCTGTGCTTTTCTCTGTGCCTGTATCTGTCTTCCTCTTTCTGGTGGTGGTAGAGATTAAAATGAAGGCCTTTGTAGTGAGCTGCATTTCCTTTTAAAAAGGATCTCTCTTAAATTGCCCAGCCTGAGCTCAGGCTTGTGAATTCCTCCTGTCTCAGCCTCTCAGTGCTGGGGTTACTGATGTAGGGATTACTACCATACTGGGTTATATTTGCCTGGATTTTATTTATTTATTTCTTAAAGCCATTACAGGCAACAAAAAATATTTTAAATTTACCTTCATGTCTGGTTTTCCTGGCACTATTTCATTTTATAGATCAAAGTTTCCGTTTGGTTTCATACTTAACAGCTGAAGAACTTACTTATATAATTATTAACCAGCTGATATTACAGGAAATTGTTTCAGCTTTGTGTGTATGTGTGTAGGACCTTAATTTGCTTTCATTTTTGAGAGATATTTTCGCTATACTGTAATTCACATTTTTTTTTTCTCTTTTGAGCATTTTAAGGTATCACTCCACTGTTTTCTGACTTGCAGTTTTGGAGGAGTTTACCGTAGTTCTTATCTTTATTCCTCTATGCATGATTTTTTTTGTCTCTAGCTACCTTTGAGATGTTTTCTTTATCTTGGGTTTTAGTATTTTATCTATAATGAATATAGGAGTGCAGTTTTTTTGTGGAGGGAGGTGGTGCTGTGGGTCAAACTCAAGGTCTCACATATGATAGGCAAGCCCTGTATCTGAGCTATACATCTTTCTGCTTAGTGTTTGGTGTTCTTTGAAAATTTTGCATGTGTGGGTTGAAATCTTGCATTCTTTTTGAAAAATTCTTGGCTGTTAACTTTTTCAGACTTTCATTCTAATTCTCTTTGCTTTCTTCTTCTGAAATGTTAATGTATTATTCCATAGTTGTCAGATGGTTTCTTGAAAACATTTTTTAAAAGTTTTATGCACGTGTATGCATTATGTTCTGATCTGTTTTCAAGTTCTCCAAGTCTTTCTTAGTTGTGTCCAGTTTACTGATGAGCATGTCTAAGGAATTCCAATATGTTTTTTAGATTTGGAGGCTGTTAGGAATTAAACCAAGATCTTGTGTATTTTAGGCAAGCACTGGCATATTGAGCTTCACCCCGAGCTGAAAATTACTAATAATCTTGCTTATATTTGTTTGTTTTTTACTAACATTGTTTTCCTTACAGTTTTCATATATCTGGAAATTCCCTTTCTCTTTGTGCAAAATACTGCCCCCACCCTTTTTCCTGCTGGATCCCTTAACATGTTAATCATATTAATGCTTTTTGTGTGATGGTCTGTAATACCTACGCCTGAGCTGTCTCTTGTTTGAATTTGTTGATTATCTCTGGACAGTGGAATTTCCTTTCTGTTCTGTGTCTTACTCTTAGAAATCAAAACCAGGGCTATGTGGGTATTAGGCAAGCACTCTGCCACTGAGCGAAATCAGCAATCATATCTGATACTTTTTGACCCAAGTAGCAGATAACATATGTAGCAAAATGATAGAGACTGAAGCTAATAACATTTGTACTTGTAAAAAGGACAAACATCTTTTTTTCTCAGTCCATTCATGTGGGAAGTTGAGTCAGTCTGTTCTTGAGCAAAATTTGGGTTTTGTTGGTGGTGACTTTGTCTTTAGTATACTACCAACTTTGTATTCCTCCAGTTATAGGTTCCTGTTACTTTGTGCTTGGTCTGAAGTCTAGGTACTGTAGAATTTTTTCATTTTTCCCTCTCTTTAGATTTAATTGTGTCTTCCCACCTTGCTGTAGATGAGAGTATCTCTCAATGCTTTTGCCCCTCTGTCAGTAACCTGCTGCTGTAAACTAGAACTAGGTTTTTGATAGGAGCAAGGGGTTTCTCTATTCTGTTGATACAGCCTCAGGCCCCTGAACTTGAGGGTCAGTCCGTGTCGTGCCCCCCCCCCCCCCAGCGTTTCTTTCCCTTAGTCCCGACTAGCCTTGTGTCTGTAGTTGCTTTTAGATGGGAGGTTCCTGTTCCATATCTGTCTGTAGCAGACCTCTGTTACAGAAAGTAAGGGGTCCTGGACTGAAGGTTGTTTTGTCTACCTCTGTGAGGGCTAAAAAAGATTTTGGTTTTGCCTTTTCTAGCACACCAACAACTCTTTACTTGTGTCCTGGGAAGGAGTTTCCTATCTTTCCCTAGAGACAGAAGTCTTTTGTTTCTATTCTTCCCCCAGAAGTAATGACTCTGCCAGAGTTTTATGGTTGAGAGATTTTGCTACCTCTACTTCAAATTTATGTAATTTTTTTTGTCTTTTTTTTTTTCCTTTGTAATAGTTTTGAAAGATTGGTGGGCTTTGTAGCTTCTTTACCCCTAGTCTCGTAGTGACAATCACCTCTTTCACTCCTATCACTAAGGGAGACTTTTTTGGTTCACTTAACATCAGTCTTTCTAACTGGTAATAAAGGCTTCATGCAGAACAATTGAGTAGAACTTCCCTTGTTCCTGGAGCTCTTGTTATCCCAAACTGATTTGGCTTTTAAAATTTGAGCTAATTTTTTTATTACCTGCTTAATGGTTGCCAATTTTTATGTTTATATTTTTGGGTTTGTTTTTTTTTTTTCCTTTTTTTCTGTGCTCTGCCCAAGGTAAGAAAGCTTGACTGTCCAGTTTCTCCTTGCATGGCCTTTTCCCTCTTAGGAATGTAGCTTGCTTGGCTGTCTTGCAACCTGAGCTCTCTGGTGTGCTCAAAAATAGGTACTCTTCCCCCTCTCTTTTTTTTTTTTTTTTTCTTTTTAAAGCTTACTCAGTATTTTCATGCTGTTTATATCTCAAGCAAAGAGACTTTCCATTTAAAAGTTTTAAATTGCTACTTTGGTAATAAGATGGTGCATTTATATTCTGTGTATAACTTTTCAAAGTTTTTAAATCCTAGAATTGCCCTTTTGAGAAAGAGATTTTACTACAGATATTCTTAGATTTCTGAATTTTATATTAAAAATAAAATTACCTCAAAGTTGCCATTGAAACAGTGGTAAATCACTTGAATCATCTTGCCACCAAATCCCCCACCCTTTGGGAACAAACAGAATTATTTGGGAGTAAACTTTGGAACCTATAATTGAGAAGATAAGGACTTTGAGTATTTTTTGTAAGAACTGAAGTTCCACGTTTTCATGAACAGATTTTCTATTTCATAGACTCTTTAGATTTCCAGAGACATTTTCCTGCCACCTGTTTATTCCTTTCTGATACATTTAGGATACTAGACCTTGCTTGTCCTCTGTTGCTAGTGTCTATCTGCCCCTACCCTCTCACCTGTCTCTATCTCCCCCCACTGCCGTGTATTTTCTTACAAATATAATAAGAACCTAACTGGCCTTTTTATTTTTTCTGGTGATGCTGGCGCTCAACCCAGGGTCTTGTGTGTGCTAGATAGATGCTCATCTACTGAATTATACCTTATCTGTTAACATTTTTAAAAACTGAAAAGGTGGTACACTTGTACCTTGTACCATTTGGACCTAGCAGGAAGTTTAAAAAAACAGCAACAAAAAAAGATAATAGTTATCACCTAAAATCCCACACAGAATAACTTCTAACATTTTGCATTCTGGTTTGTTTCTAAGAATAAATAAATTTAAAACTACAGTTAAATTCTTGGTATGTATACAATTTTGTATTTAGCATTTAATATTTAATATTACCTCACAGGCATCTCTCTGCCTTACAAAATGATCTTAAACTTTTACATTATTATGGAATCCACTAGAAATTACCTTTACTTGTTACCTTTGTAGTATTTGTAATTTGAAAGTCAGAAAAATTTAAAGCTTATTTTGAAAAGCTTATTCTATTTATAATTATATCACAAGGTATAGAAATACTTGTTTTTGATTCTGTTTTTAAAGATGGGTTTTTTGGATTCCATTGACCCAGTGGCTTTTCTCCTTTAATTTCAGAATTCCATACGTCATAATCTGTCACTCAACAAATGTTTCCTTAAAGTGCCTCGATCCAAGGATGACCCCGGAAAGGTAGGATTCATTTTCTTAAAACAAAGCAGTTGTATTTTCTATATGTCTCTGGTCATGTTTGAATCTTAAGAATTTGTCTAGTTGATCAGGAAGTTTTGTGAAATAGCACCCCTACCCTATCTCATTTAGTTGGTATGCTTCAAAGACCAACCAGTTAGGTAGAGCTTTCTTTTTAAGCATTAGGAAATTAGTTAGAGAGCTAGTGCTTTGTTATTGTTTATGCATTCTAATTCTAATGTGGTCTTTGATTGCTTTAAGTGTTGTGTATTGAATCAGTACAGTGTTTGAATTGCTTGTGAGGAACCACATAGATCTGTGTGTAATTTACAAAAGGAAAAGTATTCTAACTTTGAAATAAAGTTGTTTCTATGTTAATATTCTGTTTTCTTAGTGGCTGTGTTTTCTTCTTGATTCTGTTTATCTTCTGTCATCATCACAGTTTCAGCATTTTATCTACAGAGACATTTTTGTTTGCTTCAATAGCCATGTCAACTGTAATGTGGCCTTAAGTTTGTATAGTGGCTTAGTTTCTAAAGCTCAGAGTACTTGGTTGGACCATGTTTGGTTGATAATTTACCATGATAATTTACTAGATTACGATTTCAAGACAGGATAACTGTTGGCAAGATACCTTCTTGTTGGGGTGATTAGGCTTTTTCCTTGTCCCTGGAAGAATATTTCTAAAACAAAGATGTGTACTTTGTTATAAAATATCATCTTTTGTTTTTCTGATGTTACCATTCCAGCTGCAGTTTACTTTATTCAAGGCTCAGTGTGAGGAACATCTTGAAGTTTTTCAAACATAACTTTCATGTGGTCTTATTGCATCTTTTTCTGTATTTCTCTGGCCAAGTTCTTTTCTTTGAAAATTGGGTTACAACATTAGGTCTTTGAAGCTTTGTTTTTCCATACCTCAGTTGAGTTTGTTGTTCCCTTTTTTTGGTCTCTGTTTCTTTGTAGCCTTTTCATTGTTACAGTACCTCCTAACTTGTCTGTTTTTTTGGACTCCCTTGCTCCAATTTATAGTTACTTTCACACAGTAGTTGTCAATTTTAAGAATGTTAACTACAGTGATCATACAGTGTCTGCGTTCTCCAACTTTTAATTCTTCTTTGCCCTTAGGTTAAAGTCTAAACATATGAGGTTGTAGGGATAACATGTACTGTGCTCACTGTTTAGCCCCAGTCGCTTGCACAGTGGCTGGTAGCACTGAGGCATCCTGGTATGACTGTATTGGGGCCTCTACCAGACTGTTAACTTCCTGAGGTTATAGATGGAGAATTTTTCATTTCCGTGTTAAAGTACACTCCTGTGTAATACTTTATAGCACTTTGAGTGATCTGACCAATCAAATGGTTATCAAAACTGAGTAGATTATTAAAGTCTTATTTTTTTGCCTATATTTATAACTAAGATGTGACAGCAATTGGTGGCAAAATTCTTTTCCCTTTAATACTGACTTATTATCATGAATTAGAATTTTCTATATATCTTTCATTATAATTTTTTATAGTATATGTAAATCATATTGAAAAATATTTTATTAGAAATCTGAAGGCTAATTGGCTTTTATAAAGAATTAGTTTCAGTTTGATTTTTTAGAAAATTAAAGATAGTAGAAATGAAAAATTAATTCACATGAATCGTATTATATATTAAATTTTGTTCAATTGAAGATCCATTTTAAAAACTTATGCTGATAGGCTAATGTTCTTTAGTGAGAAGTTAAAGCTGTTCTAGTTAATGAAATAGTATGATGCAGTAATGCAGATGGGGAAAACATATTACTCTTTGAAGTTATTCTTTTGGAATAATGCTTATGCAACTGATTCTTATTGCAAGAGTAATGTGTAACTGAACAAAATACAGAAATGAATTGACCCCTCAGATTAAGCACTTGAACTTTTACCATTAGTGTCCAAAGTTAAAGTTGGACAACAACAACAACAACACATCGTTGTTCCCATTTATTTTGGTCACAAATGAATATCATTTGATCTTACGAAGAACACTTACAGAAATGGAGTCACTTTTATTTTTGGTCTCAAATGAAGTTTAAGCCATTGTTCTCATTGAATTTTGGTGAAAAGTAGATGTTACGAATATGATTTTACAAAATACATTTATCTGAGTTGAAAATCTTTTTTATGTCACAATGAGATTTTGTTCAAAAAGAAAGCAAAATTCCTTTGCTTTTAAAATGCTTTGAAAGCCTTACTTGTATCCCGTTTTATAAGAGTAAAGAAACTAATGCCAAAAGATAAGAAGTGAGTTAGATTTGTTGTGGAGTTAGAACTCAAGCGTAATAGCCAGACTGACTTGTTAGTCACAGAAACCCATTATAGATTGACTTATGGGGTATTTCAGGAGAAAATGAAGCTAGGTTCTTAAATTATATCATCACAAGTGTTTCTTTCCATTCTTGAGTTTTGCTGCCTTTTCTGATGGCTTTCTTATTAGCCTAGTTAATGGAACAGATGGCTATTTGCAGTTTCTGGTTTATGTTCTGTCAGTTTAAGTAACTGTAGGAAGAGTATATCTTTTGGTTTTCTTTTAGTGCCCCAGCTCATTTGGAATTACAGCAGAAGTCTTAGAATAAATGCCAAGAAAAAAATCTTGGTTTGTAGACTAATACTTTTTTCCAGTATACCAATCTTCTTTGAGAGAGAGGCCAAAATGTTAGTTAAGTTTTGGTACTTATGAATTGTTTTTTCTTTTTGTATTACAGTGTTTCCTGGCAGTTGAGGAGCTTTTCCAAAACCACCCTCACCACAGTGGGAGAAAACCATTGAGCCAAGGTGGGGTGGGAGTAGATTTTTGGTATGATTCTTGGGTATGGGGTGGACTTTAACTCCTTAGGATTTTGCTAGCTGTGATCCTGACCCCAATAGGTCCAAGAAAGTAGAACTAACTCATATAGCATCTTCTTCTATATATATTTTCATAGTATAGCTTCCTGTTCTTTGTATTACCAGAAAGGTACAAAGACTAGCATAGACTTGAAGTGTGTTGTTGAATTATAAAGGTTTTATATGACTACTTTTTTTCTTGCTCAATTCTTCATGTAAGAAATCCACGTCATAAAAGCCATTCAGGTGCCCTCTCATGTACATTGATGGTCTGAAAGCCATTCACCTCTGTTTCTTGAAATTTGCTTCAAATAACTACATTATTGTTGCCTTTAAAAAGAAATACAACCAGGTATAGTGGCACCCACCTGTAATCCCAGCATTTTGGAGGTTGAGGCAGAAGAGGACTGCTATGAATTTGAGGCCAGTGTCTGCGTAGTGAGTTCAGAGTTAGCCTGAACTATTAGTGAGACTCTGTCTTAAGAAACCAAACAATAAAATAAAATACATACATACATACAAGGAAAAAAAGTACAAAATAAAATTATATTTTTTCATTCATGATTTTTCTGCTTTTGTGGAGGTGTAGATTTCTTTATCCTCAGTTGTAACCCTTTTTTCCCTGCCTATCCTCCCATTTGTCTTCATTTTTAAAATTCTGTCTCTTACTATTTCTGTTTTCTTCATTTTTGCTGACATTTTGATCTAAACCTTTTTTGTCTTTTTATTGTGTAATGTATAATACTTCTTAATTATTTTGAAGATCAACATTTTGCTCACATTATGCAAGAGAATCAGTTAAACTTAAAGAAAAAACAGTTCTCTTTCTTTGCTTTCTAGCTTAATGTTTTTCAGCCTTCTTTTTCTTACTCCAGTTAGTGGAAATGATACTTTGACTTGTAAGGAACTAAAGGATCATAGGAAATAATTTCAACAATTGCATAAACAATTAATGACATACAGCTTCTAACAGAACTGAGAAAATTAGCTAAGAAGTTTAAGGCCAGCTATTAACTACAGTTAATTCAGGGTAAACAGAAGAGCTTTTTGTTTTGCTGGTGTTGGGAGAAAGGTCTTTATTACCTGGACAGGAGAAATTATAAAAGTTCAGTGACTGTAAAGATTGGGGTTTCTTGGTTTGTGGGGAAACAAATATTGTTAGAGAAATACCTTTCAAAATTTCCTACATATGGATGAAATTGTCAGCTTTCGTAGTTTTAATTTATGGTAAGAAACCAGTTTGAGCGCTGGGAAGAGAACATGACCAAGCTTGGCTGAGGGACCAATCAGAACAAAATTTGGATAGAATTAGGAATTAGAAAAATTAATATAACTTGGGGACCAAGAGTAAAGAAATGGATTTGGGCCAATGAGTGAATGTCAAGGCAAAGATGGGTTATGAGAATAAGATAAGTCATTAGACAAACCAGGGTTAAAAAGCCAAGAGTGAGCATAGATACTCACAAGATTTGAAAGATTGAATTAGGTAGAAATGGGGACTAGATCAGTGAGATAACTTTGCAGAAACAAAAGTGCTGTACCTGTACTAGAGCCCTGATGTTGTACTGCTGGCCAGAGCAGTTTAGTTGCAGCTGCTTTATATTTACATATGCAGCATTTTCTGTTCTAAGGCTGGAAAAGAACATTTTGTTGTTGTTGGCCTTTGTAGTTTCCTTTTAAAGATCTAAACTACTTTTAAAAAGTAATATTTAACTCAAATTAATTTTTAAAAATTACATATAATAAAACACTATATAATTTTAGTGTATAATTCTGACAGTTTTGGCAAACACACAGTACAACCATTACTGTGATCAAGGTTAGAATAGAACTCTTCATTGTCCTTTGGTAGTCATCCCTTACTGAAATTTCCCCAGACCCTGCAACTAGTGATGTTTTCTGATCTTATAATTTTACCTTTTGTAGAATGTCTGAAAATAGCACTCATGTAATAGGTGTTCTTTTGAGTCTGCCTTCTTTCTTTTAGTGTAATGCATTTGAGATTCAAATGCATGTTGTAGACATCAGTTAATTCCATTTTATGGTATATATTCCATTGTATAATTTACCATAGTTTAATCCCTATTTGAAGACCATATAGTTTGTTTCTAGTCGTAAGTTCATTTGACTGTCAAGTTCTTTTCTTTTAGG